GTGACCTCCAGCCACTGCCATAGAAATGAAAGGTGTGATTTTGGGGGACTCTCAATAGCCATTTATCTAACAGATACAGAAAGGGAAATGGATCAGCGCTGCGTGATATACTAGAAGGTTTGAAACAAGTGAATAGCAGCAACCTATAAATATGAGGTTCCCTCTAAAGTCCTCAAAAGAGAAATGGCAAAAACAGAAGAAATATAGGTCGCGCTGTAACAAATAAATATAAAATATTTTAATACACTAAAAACTATAAAATAAAAAAAAGTGTAACAAATAGTCCAAATAATTAGTGTGCTTATAATAAGTTCCAGTAGATAGATAGATGAGAATTTCAGTACTTGGTGTCCATCTCTTACTGTTTACGGCACAGGAGTGAAAAAGCAGGATCTTCTAAAATAGATGTAGATGTAGGTGGTGTCTTGATTCAGTGGAAACCATAGATAAAAAGAACACAAAAAATCCAATAGTGTAGATTGTCTGTAGATAACTGAGAGTATAGAAGAATATTAGGGAGGTAATACACTCACCTATTTCAGAGCACAAACTCGCTCTAGTGTGTTGGGCATTCAGTGGCGTTTGTCCCCCACTGGTAGGATATAGGTGAAGACAGTTCCTCCGTATGAGAAAAGGGATAAAAAACACAATATAGTGCTCACTGGATTAATAAAATTAATAAAATAAAAGAATAAAAAATACTCACATTGAGATGAGCAGAATAAAACTGCTCAGTATACTCGCATAAGTGGTACAATCCCCACCTAGGATTCTTGGTTGTATGTGGACTCCAAGGTAAAGATTGATCAGGTACCAGGAAATTAATAAAATAATATAATAAAATAATATTTTATAATATTTTTTATAAACAAAAAAAAGGAGGGATATATGGCAAAGTTATAATAAAAAGCCAATATTCCTTTATTAATACAGTAAAAAATATATATAATAGCCAACAAGTACTAACCAGGCCCGACCCTGCTTAGCTTCCGAGATCAGACGAGATCGGGCGTGTTCAGGGTGGTATGGCCGTAGGCCATACGGCCATACCACCCTGAACACGCCCGATCTCGTCTGATCTCGGAAGCTAAGCAGGGTCGGGCCTGGTTAGTACTTGTTGGCTATTATATATATTTTTTACTGTATTAATAAAGGAATATTGGCTTTTTATTATAACTTTGCCATATATCCCTCCTTTTTTTTGTTTATAAAAAATATTCTGTTCATCTCAATGTGAGTATTTTTTATTCTTTTATTTTATTAATTTTATTAATCCAGTGAGCACTATATTGTGTTTTTTATCCCTTTTCTCATACGGAGGAACTGTCTTCACCTATATCCTACCAGTGGGGGACAAACGCCACTGAATGCCCAACACACTAGAGCGAGTTTGTGCTCTGAAATAGGTGAGTGTATTACCTCCCTAATATTCTTCTATACTCTCAGTTATCTACAGAAAATCTACACTATTGGATTTTTTGTGTTCTTTTTATCTTCTATGGTTTCCACTGAATCAAGACACCACCTACATCTACATCTATTTTAGAAGATCCTGCTTTTTCACTCCTGTGCCGTAAACAGTAAGAGATGGACACCAAGTACTGAAATTCTCATCTATCTATCTACTGGAACTTATTATAAGCACACTAATTATTTGGACTATTTGTTACACTTTTTTTTATTTTATAGTTTTTAGTGTATTAAAATATTTTATATTTATTTGTTACAGCGCGACCTATATTTCTTCTGTTTTTGCCATTTATCTAACAGAGCAGGCAATTTAGAACAAGAAATTTTGGCAATTCGGATATTAAGATGCTTCCGAATTTCGGATTTTGGATTTCTGTGGCAAAGAGGCAAAACAGGAGGGGGGGAATTAAAGGAATGATGACAGAAATCTAACCCTAACCCTACTCTTACCACTAACCTGATTCCTAACCCTACCCTTACCCCTAACCTTCACCCCAACTTTCCTCTAACCCTAACCCAGGTGGGGTTGGGGGTAGGGTTAGGGATTTGCCAAAGTCATGAAAGGTGTGATTTTGGGGGACTCTCAATAGCCATTTATCTAACAGAGCAGGCAATTTAGAACAAGAAATTTTGATAATTTGGATATTAAGATGCTTCCGAATTTCGGAAGCGCCAAAGTTAGGATTTCTGAAAAGTGGCAAAACAGGATGGGAGGGGAAATTAAGGGAATGATGACAGAAATCTAACCTATTCCTAACCCTACTCTTCCCACTAACCTGATTTCTAACCCTACCCCTCACCACAACTTTCCTCTAATCCTAACCCTAACGGGGTTGGGGGTTTGCCAAAGTCTCAAATTCCGAATTGCCAAAGTCCTGAATTTCAGAAGTGCCGAACCAAACCAAATTTTTTGCCCATGCACATCCCTACTACTGTAGGTAAATTCCTCGAACTATAAATGGTTATGGACTGCTTGTCACAGTTCTCACCGTGACATCCAGACTGCCAGACGAGGTCACCCCAGAAGTGCCCAACAAGGGATTTGGATCTTGCCTTGGATCCAGCACTGGGGGGTTGTATCCAGCACTGCGCCCGTCACTCATGGTTCACCTGTGGCTGATCACTGATGTGACAGGTATAAGACACTGCCTCTCCCTGAGGGCAGTGTCAGTTCATTGACTCTGGTCCCGTATTGCTGTTTGTGTTCCAGTGTGCTCCTGTTGATTCCTGACCTTGGCTTGTTACTCCATATATCCTGACTTCTGGCATCCTCTGACCTTGGCTCTATACTGGTTTATCCTGATTTCTGGCACCCACTGACCTTTGGCTTACCAACGACGATTCTCCTGTTTATGTCCGTATCTGCACTGCGACTTGGAGCATCATCCTGTACAGCCCCTGTGCACCGACTCACAGGCCAGGTGAATTCTTCACTGACCACCTTGGCCTATGTTTACTTGCAAGGGTGAGCACATATATCTGCGCTACAGACTCCCATTTAGGTAAGCCCTAACACTGCTGTCCCCTTACAAAAACTGGACCCAGCTATAAGCCCAGAGGATTCCTGATGTGACCTATAACTAGTTAAAATGTATTTATAATTGTAGCTTCTGCTCATTGGAAAAAGATAAATATAATTGTTCCCGTCCATGAAAGTTTTAAAAGTGCTTCTTAAATATCAAACACAGGTCAGGTTTTTAAAATCGACAGTAATCCAAGGAAGTTTTCCCAGTGCTAATTAAGTATGGTCTAATTGGACAAGGCTGTAGTCATCGACAGCCACACTAGTACAAAGAGAATCAATTTTTGTCTAATCATAGTTGAGTTTGGAAACAGCCTTGAGCTTGGCTGCCTCATTTTCTGTTCATATAAATGCTTCTTTGAGCATATTTTTATGTTCGTTAATCTTTTATTTTTTAAAACAAGAAGTTATCCATGTGGCTACGTTTGTCATTCTTATCTGACTAGCCCATCACCAGGGCCGGATTTACCCTCCTTGCTGCCCCAAGGCCAGTTTCCTCCATGCACCCCTTATATACTATGCAAGCGTTTGGGTTACGTGTTTGGATGTGTTGAAGTGCTGTTTTCAGTGGTTGTATTTGTGTGGGTATGCTGCTTGTTTCTGGGGATGGTGCTTTTGGGGTTGTTTGTGTGTGTGTGGGGGGATTGTGCTTGTGGGATTGTGTGTGTGTGTGGGGATTGTGCTTGTGGGATTGTGTGTGTGTGTGTGTGTGTGGGGATGGTGCTTGTGGGGGTGTTTGTATGTGAGGGCAGCTGCTTGTAGTGTTGTATGCTGGCGGCCGCAGGGGGAGTTGTGCTGTCTCTGCTCTGCTCCTCCGCCCTTGCACGCTACCTAATGAGACCGAGGCCATCACAGCTGTAGTCTGTTCTAGATTGGGATTGGGCTGTATCCGGAGTGTGCATAGATCGCTGTGTTCAGTTTGAGAGGGCGGGGCCCTGCACAGATCGCTGTGTTCAGTCTGGGAGTGGGGCTCTGCACAGATCGCTGTGTTCAGTCTGGGAGCGGGGCTCGCACAGATCGCTATGTTCAGTCTGGGGGCAGGGCCCTGCACAGATCGCTGTGTTCAATCTGTGAGCGAGGCCCTGCACAGATCGCTGTGTTTAGTCTGGGGGTGGGGCCAAGCACCACCAGGAACGGACTGGCCCACCGAGATACCGGGAAATTTACCGGTGGGCCGTCGGCACCTGGGGTCGGGCAGACAACTGTCTGTGCTGGCGAAGCTGTGCTGGCGGCCGCAGGGGGAGCTTTGCTGGCGGCCGCAGGGGGAGCTTTGCTGGCGGCCGCAGGGAGAGCTATGCTGGCGGCCGCAGGGGGAGCTGTGCTGGCGGCCGCAGGGGGAGCTGTGCTGGCGGCCGCAGGGAGACCTGTGCTGGCAGCCGCAGGGGGAGCTGTGCTGGCGGCCGCAGGGAGAGCTGTGCTGGCGGCCGCAGGGGGAGCTGTGCTGGCGGCCGCAGGGGGAGTTGTGCTGTCTCTGCTCTGCTCCTCTGCCCTTGCACGCTACCTAATGAGACCGAGGCCATCACAGCTGTAGTCTGTTCTAGATTTGGATTGGGCTGTATCCGGAGTGTGCATAGATCGCTGTGTTCAGTTTGAGAGGGCGGGGCCCTGCACAGATCGCTGTGTTCAGTCTGGGAGCGGGGCTCTGCACAGATCGCTGTGTTCAGTCTGGGAGCGGGGCTCTGCACAGATCGCTGTGTTCAGTCTGGGGGCAGGGCCCTGCACAGATAGCTGTGTTCAGTCTGGGGGCGGGGCCAAGCACCACCAGGAACGGACTGGCCCACCGAGATACCGGGAAATTTACCGGTGGGCCGTCAGACAGCTGTCTGTGCTGGCGGAGCTGTGCTGGCGGCCGCAGGGGGAGCTTTGCTGGCGGCCGCAGGGAGAGCTGTGCTGGCGGCCGCAGGGGGAGCTGTGCTGGCGGCCGCAGGGGGAGCTGTGCTGGCGGCCGCAGGGGGAACTGTGCTGGCGGCCGCAGGGCGAGCTGTGCTGGCGGCCGCAGGGGGAGCTGTGCTGGCGGCCGCAGGGGGAGTTGTGCTATCTCTGCTCTGCTCCTCCGCCCTTGCACGCTACCTAATGAGACCGAGGCCATCACAGCTGTAGTCTGTTCTAGATTCCCAATTCTAAAATTTCCTTCTCTAGATACAGTCTAATGGCTAGCTCTTCTTATGAATTGTTTAATTTCAATAAATAAACCTCTGTTGCTTATTCACCCCGATGTGAATTATATTTTCTTACTAATGTCTGTATTGCCTGTCTGAACAAAATGCTCTCTCTCTCTCTTCTACACACTCTTAATCTCACACACTCTCTCCCCATCTCACTCACTCTCTCTCTCCATCACTCACTCACTCTCCCCATCTCACTCGCTCTCTCTCTCTCTCTCCCCATCTCACTCTCTCTCTCTCTCTCCATCACTCACTCACTCTCCCCATCTCACACTCTCTCTCTCTCTCCATCACTCACACTCTCTCCCCATCACTCACTCACTCTCCCCATCTGACTCTCTCTCTCTCTCTCTCTCTCTCTCCATCACTCACTCACTCTCCCCATCTCATACTCTCTCTCTCATCTCACACACTCTCTCCGTCTCTTACACTCTCTCTCTCAATCTCACATCCACTCTCTCTCTTTCTCTCCATTTACACTCTCTCATCTCACACACTCTCTTTCTCTCATCTATCTCCATCACGCTCTCTCTCTCCATTTCACACTCTCTCTCTCTTTCTCTCCATCTCCCCCTCTCTCCCTCTCTCTGTCTCTCTCCATCTGACACTTACTGTCTCTCCCCATCTCAAACTATGTCCCTCTCTGTCTCTCTCTCTGTCTCTCTCTCTGTCTCTGTCTCTGTCTCTCCCTCTCTCTCTCCCTCTCTGTCTCTGTCTCTCTCCCTCTGTCTCTCTCCCTCTCTGTCTGTCTCTCTCCCCATCTCACACTCACTCCCCCCCTCTCTCTCTCTCTCTCCCTCTCTCTCATCTCATACTCTCTCTCTCCATCTCTCTCTCTCCCTCTCTCTCTCCTCATCTCACTCTCTCTCTCATCTCTCTCTTTCTCCATCTCACACACTCTCTCACAACCTTATCGTCTTGCTTTCCCTCTGATAGTTGACAGATTAGCATTTAAAACTGGGATAAGTACAGTCAGGAGGGTTTTCAGAGAAGCCTTGCAGTGTAAATATATTTCATCTCTGCTTTATTCAATTTTCAGACTGTCTGTAACAGGGCCAACATTAACCCTTTATCTGCAGAACAGACGTGTACCAAATACATAGATTGCATTGGCACGGAGCTGCCTGTATATTAGAAGGGGATTATGCAGAATTAACAGGGGGGTTGCACATTTTAGACTAAAATAGTTGAGTGGGAAACAGTTCAGTTCATGGATTTTTCCTGCTTAGCTAATTTAGTCTCAAATAACCAATTCCCTTGTCAATTCACAAATTCCTGTTTAATAAATAAGTCCCTCAGTATTTACAGCGACGTCAAACAGGTTTAACATATTTTTGTGTGTGTGTGTGTGTGCGTGGTATATGTTCTGGAACGTCTGTAGCGGAGAAAGAATTACGTTATGGGATTAAATTGACACTGACAGGATAGCTATATATACATATCATTATCACTTGTATATTATATACATTAATCAGGACCGCACATAATGTAGCTCCAGGGAATTCTCCTGCTTCTATAACCAACAGCAATACTTGTATTGAGTAAAACAGCCTAGAGGCTTCCTGAGCATTATGTAAAATCTAGATCACAAATACCTGGGGTGCAACAGTTACCCATCACTGTCCAAAACCCTCCGCATTAAAACAGTTATTAATCCTACAGCTATAATTAACATTTCTATTGTGAGCAAGGCTGTTCCCACCAGGGGTTTAAGTAGACCCCCATGGACCCTGGGTGGTACGTGTTGCACCAACTAGGGTGAGGTTGGCCAATTCTCATTAAAAAAATACAATCCTATCTATTTCTAATCTAATGGTGGCTGAAATATGCAGCCAAAAATCTTGGGAAAATCATGAGATCTTCCCCTTTTTTTACAAGGTTCAAGAACTCATTATATTTTTTATTTTAATGTTTTTTTTTGATTTAGGAGCAACTAACATTCATGTTTCCCAAGCAGGTGGGAAAATATGTTGAATATTATGTACATATTTGTAATCTTGAATGTTTGTTGCTCTAAATGAGAACAATATTTGCTTTAATTCGAAGTCTGTAGGGTCTCGACCATATGTGTGATGCGTTTTAATCTTGTTAACGCGATCAGAAAAAAACAAACAAAACAATAACTGCCCTTAAACAATGCAAAAACATCTCCTTTGACTGGGAACAGGGCAACCATACAGGAATGGTCCCCTAGCGCACCAGACGAATAGATCGCCACCCGGGTGAATCAGAAGGAGGCACTCGGGCGGCGGCCAAGAGCACGGGCCAAAATAATAACCCCCACTGACAAACTCAGTGGCTTCCCACTATATAACACTACCAACAAGGGAGAGGGGTAAACGCAAAATAAGACACGCAATACCCTACCACACATTTCAAATGGTTAGAAGAACTGATACGTTCCCATATGGGACCAAAACCAAACCTAAGCCACAGAGGCACACCACACACCACAACCGCACACTTATATCGTCCCCTCTCATCAGCCTCAGCAGACAGCCCCCAAAACTAACACTACTACCACAAACAAACAAGTGGTATCCTCCACACGCAACAACAACTGGGGTAGGACACCAAACAGCACCTACAAAGGTGAAACCCTATACCACCTTACCCTCAAAAGACTTCCCTAGCGGAATTAACAAAAACCCTACCAAGCCCCCGCAGGGGTCACAGGTAGCCCGAAAGTTGCTGGTCTGTGAGATGATACTTGAGCGAGATGAAACGCTGTTCAGCAGTTAAACAAATAGAGTTTGATAAACGCTAGATTACAAAATGAAAAAAAAGATAATTCCAGGACTCCCCTTCCTTTCTGTAACCCCAACCTAATAAAATGAAGGCATAACTAGCAACACTCTGCAAAGATACCTCCACAACACAAGGGCACAAATGTGACGATAAAATATACCCATAACACAACAGGGACAGGCCAGCGGCCACGAAATAGGCATGGTAACAAAGCCCCCGCCACCTAGCCTGTCACACTCACACGTCACCACCTACCGAAGCCTAAAATACACCAAGTTAAGACTAAGGGAACAAGATGACTTCCACTAAAATGAATATAACCCAGACGACAACACAAAGCCTAACAGGTCATGTATCTAAGTTCCAGAGTTACCCTTTACTTTTTCAGGAACACACCCAATACGGTGTCTTCAGACTTAGAATTTCATGGTTATATGAAAATGAAAAAAAACAAAACATTGACAGACTGCAGCCCTAAGAAAAATAACAAAGAAAGAAAAGACAGGCCTTTCAAATATCAACTGTACCTCTAACCAAATCATTGTCTTCTTTCTGTACCATTGCAGTTCTATTGTACCTCATGACACTCGGCTTTTGCACAAGCCCAAGTTCTATTTACAAGCTGTATTGTCTGTCAACGCAAAAATAAAGAATTATTAAAAAAATAAAAACATCTCCTTTGGCAGTACAAAATCTCTTGACGGGTCCGTTTTGGGGTTCCATCGGTGTCTCTCAGGAGGGTCACACATCTTCTGGTTCATTAGGAGGGCACCACGGAGGTGGAAAACTGGGCATCGTGCCATGGACTCAATATGTTTCACCTAGGATGCCAGCTGCTGCTGTACAGAAAGCCAAACTGTGGTCAGGAATCAGACCTAGCCTGCCAGCCAGTACATCTGCAGCTCCAATGAATGAGGGTGCGCTGGCCCTGCCCGTCATTAACAGTTGGATGGCAGACTTGGCAATCCCTGTAACAATAACAAGTGCCCTGGCAGTTGTGCAAAGCAGGGAGACCCCAGGCAATACCAATCCTGTAAAGATGGAAAAAAAGACTTGTCGATGCCGCACATGAAAGGAAACATTGATGGTGCCAATGTTTACAATTGGCTTGAGGACTACGTTGAGCCAATCGTGTAGTAATTATGACCATGCCAGCAATTGGCAGCTACAGAGAATGTGAGGGGAGTGAATTGAGGCAGTTGGCATGATAATAACAATAACATTCTATTAATGTGACCAGGGTGCTAGCTACATCACAAGTTCCCAGGACTCCCATCACGCTAATCCTTTGGGAACCTGGATAAGGCTGACTGGAGATCTACTCCGACAAGACCCATAATGTGCCAGTTTCTCAGTACTGATTGTCAAATGCCAGAAATTCCAATCTACATGTACAAATATATATTATGTACAAATAAGTAAAATGTGTGTTATATTTAAATGACGTGTAGCCCCATGTAGCCAAGCGCAGCTAAGCGGAAAAAGGCCTTGACAGGGGTTAGGAGGCGGGCCTAGGAGGAAGTAAGCAAGGGAGTGGAGTTATGGGTAAGTGGGTTTGGTTATTTAAATGGGCAGCCATTTTAGTTAATTCATTCTAACTTCCTACCTGGTTAAGTTTGTGTTCGCTCCTGTGGGCACAGATTTGGCTTGGTAGGGCTTTTTCCTTTTTGTCTCCCTGCAGGGCCGATGGATGAAGTGGAGCGACTGCTGGAGCGGATCCGGTCGGCGGCGAGGCACCAGGGGGCTGACTGGCTGAAGGCCCAGTTAGGCCCGGCCCTGGCGGCGGCGGAGGACCAGGACGGCGGCGGACGACGGCCTGTTCGGGCCAGGAGGCCTCCGGAGCGGCTAAGCCCGGGTGTGGGACCCGGTGAAGACATCCCTGGTGGTCCGGGAGGCTCCGGTGCGGGCGGCAGCAGGCCCGGCAGCCGCGTGGTAGAGGCCCCGCCTCCCCGCGAGCGGCCGGAGCCTAGGACCAGTGCCCGGCGCCGGGGGGACGGTCGGGACGGGGCCGTCGCGGCTGCCGGGTCGGACGTGGCCGGGCGGTCCCCTGGAGGAGCGGGCAGCATGGAGCTGCGGCCCGGGAGGGCGCGCGCCCCGTCGGAGGCGGAGATCGGCGGGGCCGGGACCGGGAGGACACGTGGCCGGTTCCCGGCCCCAAAGGCAAGTGCAGGGGGCTCCGGCCGGGGCCCTCTTGGAGGAAAAAGTGCTGGGGGGGTCCTGTCAGGGGGCGGAGGGCGGAGGGCCCAAGTGGGGGTTGGGAAGGCCTCCCAGGGACCGCGGGTGGTGGATGGGGAGGGCATAGGGGTCATAGGTGGGGGGAGTAGTGGTAGGGGTGGGGGGGCTGTGGGTGAGGAGGGACTGCTGGGCTCCCCTGGTAGGGGAAAGGGGGCCTCCTTGGGCTCTGGGGCTAGGCCGGTGCGGGTAGGGTCGGGTAGGCCTGGTTTAGGGGTTGGGGGGGCCAGTCTAGTTGAGGGGGGTCTAGGTCCCCTTAGTCTGGGAGCCAGTTCAGGTGGGGGGTCGGGCTCTAGCCGGAGGGGTGAGCGTTTGGGGGTGCAGGGTAGTAGGGGGGGGGGTCCGGTTCAGGGTCCTATAGTGGTAGTCCCTCTCCGGTTCGGGAAGTAGAGCCACGGGGAGGAGGGGGAGGAGGGGGAGGTCCCGGCAGCGCCGCTCCAGGTCAGGGAGCTCGGGAGAGAGCGGGTCTAGCGTTCCCAGGGGTGGTCGGCGGGGACGTATGCCCGGGGAAGACAGGAGGAGCCGTAGCCCTAGGGGCTCCCGCGCGCGGCGCGTGCAGGGGGCACAGAGGGAGGCTTTGGCAATGGGCAGGCGCTCCCAGGGTCGGGACGGGGGGGATGCGAATACTCAGTGCACCCTACCCAGGACTTCTTCTCCTCTTTCCAGGTCACGGAGCTGTTCCATATCGACACGGGCAAGGCACCGGTTTGGCTCCCCGGTTGGCGAGGTATCGGCGGGAGTCGCTCTCCCTGGACATCGGGCAGTCGACGACGCAGCCCCTGCCGCGTCAGTTGCAGGGGGCTTGGCCGGTGAGTCTTGTGGGTCACTACACTCCAGTTCCTTAGTTAGCACACTGCAAGCACTGCTCCACTCGCTGGGGGCGGGGGGTGACACGGGGGGTGGCGTTGGTCGGGTTTGGGCCCCGGGGACGGAGGTCCCTGGTCCTAGTGGGGTTTCCGTGGGGCTTAGTTCGGGCGGGGACGTGGGGGTGGCGCCCGAGGCGATGGCGGCCGGGGGTGACAAGGCGGAACTGGCCGGGGGTATTCCGGATGCAGCGAGGCAGCACGCATACGTCTCGTTTGCGGGCCCCCTGGGGGTTCATCTGAAACAGGACGTGAAAGAGAAGCTCTGGAAAGGTGAGTTCTGCGAGATCTTCTCCCTGCTCCCCTTGGAGGACTTTATTGACCTCAAGGAGGAGGATAAAAAGGATGAAAAGAAGGAGGAGGAGGAAGAGGAAGCGGTATCGCAAGATTCCGAAATCCTTTGGCAACTGGTTACGGGCGTTTTGCGTGCTAGCCAGCGTGCTCGGGGAAAAATCGCCGGGATTATGCTCGTCCCTGTTCTGCTACCTGGACGGCATTTGGGAAGCATATCGCACCTATGGGGGGCTGGCATGGTGGCGATACGATGAACAGTTTAGGCAGCGACTGGCGGCTAACCCGGGGATGAGGTGGGATCAGATGGATCTGCCCCTCTGGATGAAGCTAATGATGGCCCAGAAGGCGCAGCCCTTTCCAAACTCGGCCGGCGCGAAGGGGCAGTCCGCCTCGTCGGCCGCTTTGCAAAAGGGCTTCTGCTGGCTCTACAATGAGGGCCAGTGCAAATGGGGAAACGCGTGTCGATTTAAGCATGAGTGCTCCGGTTGCGGGGGTGCTCATGGGCTCAATCGCTGTTTCAAAAAAGGGAAGGCAGGAACAGCCGGAGCGGCTGCCGGGGCCGGAGGGAATGCTTCCCCTGCCCCGGGGCTTCACGCCGGTGAGACTAGACGCGATGGAGCCGTGGCTAAGCCGCTACGGTAACAGGACTGATGCCTCGGTACTTAGGGAAGGCTTCGGGCGGGGTTTCTTTATTCCCTTCGGGGAGCGGGGGGGTTCGGGGGGGTTGCGCAACCTGAAGTCGGTGGCGGATTTCCCGGAGGTGGTACGGGAGAAACTAGACAAGGAGGTTGCGCTGGGGCGGATGGCGGGCCCGTTTGCGGTGCCCCCATTGGAGGACCTACGGGTTTCCCCTCTTGGGGTGGTGCCAAAGAAGGAGCCGGGGAAATTCCGGCTCATTCACCACCTCTCCTACCCAAAAGGGGAGTCGGTGAATGACGGTATTGATAAGGACCTATGCTCGGTCTCGTATGCATCATTCGACCGGGCGGTCGAGCTGGTTAAACGGGCCGGGCATGGGGCACTTATGGCAAAAGTGGATATTGAGGCGGCGTTTCGGCTGCTGCCAGTCCACCCGGACTGCCACCACCTGTTGGGATGTTTTTTCGAGGGAAAATATTTCGTGGACTTGTGCCTCCCTATGGGCTGTTCTATTTCATGCTCCTATTTCGAGAAATTTAGTACTTTTCTCGAATGGGTGGTGCGGGTCGAGGCGGGGAACCGTTCGGTGGTGCACTACCTGGGCGATTTCTTTTGCGTGGGGCCGGCTGCCTCCTCGGCATGCCAGCAACTGCTTAGGACCGTGGAATGGGTGGCGGGCCACTTTGGGGTGCCGCTGGCAGCGGATAAGACGGAGGGCCCGACGACGTGCCTTAGTTTCTTGGGGTTAGAAATAGATTCTATCTTGGGTGAATGCCGACTGCCTCGGGACAAGTTGGAGGGGCTCAAGGGGGCGGTAGCTGCGGTGACCGTTGCGCGCAAAGTTACGCTGCGGCAACTGCAGTCGCTAATAGGGATGCTGAACTTTGCATGCCGTGTAATTCCTATGGGGAGGGTTTTCAGCCGCAGCCTGGCGGCTGCTACGGCAGGAGTTCGATCCCCGCATCATTTCATACGGGTGTCAGCAACCATGAGGGCTGATTTGGGCGTGTGGGATGCCTTCCTGCAGGATTTCAACGGGACGGTGTTTTTCAGGCGGGCGGGTAAGTCGGCGACGGAGTTGGAGCTCTTCACGGATGCTTCAGGTAGTGTGGGCTTCGGGGCCTACTTTGGCGGGAGATGGTGCGCGGAGCGGTGGCCGGAGGCATGGGGGTCTAGCCCAGTCATGCGCAACCTGGCTTTTCTGGAATTATTCCCGTTGGTCGTTGCAATGGCACTATGGGGCGAGGGGCTCCGGGACCAGAAAGTGGTCTTTTTCTCGGACAACATGGCGGTGGTGCATGCGGTGAATAATCAATCGGCTGCCTCTAAGCCGGTGGTTAGGTTGCTGCGGCGCTTTGTGTTGATGTGTATGTCACGGAATGTTGTGTTTCGCGCGCGTCATGTCCCTGGGTACCTGAATGAGGTGGCTGACGCTCTGTCTCGTTTTCAGTGGTCCCGATTTTGGTCGATGGCGCCAGGAGCATCGAAGGAAGGGGAGGCCTGCCCGGACGAGATATGGCAGCTGGGAGCGTCCTGCTTGGGGGACTTGTGAAGGCTTCGCTGGCACCGGCCACATGGGCCTCCTACAGTAAGGTCTGGGACTCTTGGGAACGATCATTAGACGGGTTGGAGCATGGCTTACGTGGGGATGCGCTGCGGGACGCTTTTCTGTGGTACACCTGCCAATTGCTGGCAAAGGGGGCGTCCCCGGCAGTGGTCGATAGGTCCATGGCGGCAATGGCGTTCTGGTTCCGATGGTGCGGGTCGGAGGATCTGACTAAGACCTTCCTAGTACGGCAGGCGCTGAAGGGTTATCGAAAGGGCCGCAGGACCTGTGACTCTAGGCGCCCGGTGTCGGTACGGGTATTGGGGGATCTGGTGGGTCGGTTGCCGGAAATTTGTTTCAACGGGTTTGAGGTCTCTCTGTTCAGAGCGGCTTTTCTCTTGGCATTTTTCGGGGCGTTCCGCGTGGGGGAGCTGGTGAGTGCCAGTAGGGTGGTGCCCGGGGGTCTGCAGGCCTCAGGGGTTCGTGTTTTGGAGGGTAAGGTGGTTGTGCATCTGGGTAGTTCTAAGACGGACGTCCGTGGCGTGGGTAGGGACGTTACGCTATGGGCTCTGCCGGGCGCAGCATTGTGCCCGGTGGCTGCAGTGGCGGAGTATATGGCTCGGAGGCCGGCGGTAGGGGGTTCCTTCTTGGTACATGCGGATGGTTCTTCCCTGTCCCGGTTTCAGTTTACAAAGGTTTTTCGGGCCGGGCTAGGTAAGTTGGGGCTTCCGGCCGGACGTTTTGGTACTCACTCCTTTCGCATTGGGGCGGCCACGGAGGCCGCACGGTTGGGATTAGGAGATGAGGTCGTGAAGCGCATAGGGAGATGGGAGTCGGTGCGGTTCCGCTCATATGTGCGGTTGGGCTTATTGGAATAATAAAAAAAAAAAAGGGTACATGTCTGGGTATGTATATGTTTATATATATGTATATGTATAGATATGGGGCGGGGGCGGACATGGACGGAGGAGTCCTCGTTTGCCTTTCACTCATGCTTGTTTTCTTCTTCTCCCCAGGACGGGTTGCTTGGATTGTGGGACATTCTTTTGTCTTCTGGGCCGAGAGGAGGGCCGCAGCTCGAATGCAGGGCCAGCAGCTGGGCTTTCCGAAGGACCAGTTGACAGTCCGATGGTTTGGGTACAGGGGATTTTGCTGGGGGGAGGTTTGTGGGGCAATGTTTAGGATGGTGGTGGGCGGGAGGACACCGGACATGGTGGTCCTTCATGCTGGGGGTAACGACTTGGGCCTCACGCCACAACGTCGGTTGGTAAAGTGGATGAAGCAGGACATCAACAAATTGAGGGACCTGCTTCCGGGGGTTATGTTAGTGTGGTCGGAGATTGTCCCAAGGCGTCGATGGCGGCACGCGCGGGATCCGGTGGCGATTGATCACTGCAGGAAAAAGGTGAACAGCTTAATGGCGAGCTTTGTTAGGAAGATGGGAGGTGTGGTGGTACGGCACAGCGAGTTGGAGGAGGGGTTGCCGGGGTACTACCGCTCGGACAGGGTTCACCTTTCGGAGGTAGGTTGGGATCTGCTCAACTTGGGTTGGCAGGTTGGTATGCAGCGGGCGCTGTTTCTTCGGGGTGGCGGAGCTCAGACGGCTTAAGGGGTCAAGGTCTGAGCTTATGGCGGGACGGGGAGCTGAAGGAGAGGAAATAGGCTCCCCAGGATGAACGTAATGGAAGACAAACAAGTGGTGGTCATTGGTGGTTGATAGGTTTCGAGTCCTGTCGGTGGCTCAGAACCTGGTGGGGTAGGGGTATCCGGGTATACCCCTGCCGTGGTTAATGGATGGTTGGCACTTTACATCGATTGGAATAATGTTGATGTATGTTATATATATATGTTTATTTATATGGGGGTCATTGCCCTTTATATGTTAATGGAAGGAATAGGATGCGAGGGCGGAGTATGGGGGGCAATGACCCATGTTTACTTGTTAAGTTATTATTATTATTATTGTTATTATTATTGTTTGCTAAATAAAGCTGTGGACATATTTCCCCATATCCTCTAGTATGTGCGTTATTGGGTTGGGTTATGGGGTGGTTGTCCTGGATTCCGACTGCCCAAAATGGCGACTATACACCTGTCATGCTGCACTCTGTTTGGCAAAGTCCCAGTGATTCCATTAGTTCCCCTGAATATAACTTCAACCTGGTGCACCAGAGTCCAGCAGGCAGGGTTGGCCCATATTGCTCAGTCTGAGATTTACAAATCCTTTTTGGCCCTTTGATTTTACAGCAAAAATGTATTATCTTGGGTAAATCACATCAGTGCTGAGCAGGTGTGCATCCTCCGAATCGGACATTTGCCTCATTGTGTGGAGCCTCCTGGCTTCCTATTTACTTGACAGAAATACTCCAGCAAGATGAATGAACCTACTATACGATCTGCAGGTTCTCCAATATGCAGGACACTGTTCTCTGTACACTGCCGCGGTACCTGCATGCTGCCGGCTTGCTCACCGGTGAGTGGCTTTAGTGAATATTGTGCTAATGCTTGTGCTGGGGATTTTAGTTTAGCTGTTGCCTTAAGGCTGCATTGATACTCTCAGTCCGTTTATCCTGCTCCATAGCTTTCACATGTCTGTCAGTGAGTTCTGCAGTAACAACGTATCTCATTTGCTGCATGTAGGGTTAAATCATGTTCCCTAACTAGGGGGCAGCGTGTACTTTCAGTAATAATACCTAGAACTATATTGTCCCAAATAAGTTAATCTCTCAGAGAGCCATACTCACAGCTTGCAGCTTTTCCTCTTAGCCGAGTGACAAAGTTGCCTATTGTTTCACCTTCTTCGTGCTTGCAACTGCCGAATATATATCTGTCATATATAACATTTGTTGAAGTTTTTAAAAAAGTGCTTCTAACGTGTCCAGGATGGCCTTATTGTCAATATGTTATTCCTTTTTGAGTTTCATTGTAAACATGGAGGCTTTCACTGGCCATCACCCTCCTCGGCGTGGCCACTTGCACTGCTGCAGATTTTTCATTTAACCCTGTGGCTAAGGGGTGATCCTCACACTCACATATGGCATCGTCCACGTTATGTCCCTGTCATTGCCTCGGGTAGTGGAATGCTATTAGCAGGTGCCACAATATTGGTTTTCTCCCTTCCAATGCCCAACCTCCGGGACAGGACGGTCTTTGCTACAGGAGGGCACAAGCAGGTCTAATGTCTGTCACTGAAAGAATTGCAAGCTCTTAGGATAAAATGTATAGAATTAGATCAGGTTCAGATACTTCTGACACCATGTTATATGTGGTGCAAGCTATTAGTGAACACAAGCTATGATAGGATAAGAACAGAAAGAAACACCAAAATAGGAAATAATGACAAACCCTAGAGTTGCCTGTAAACAGAATGTCCGTAACAGTCTATTCTTGCTCCGGTGCCAATCAGTCCTGCTCTATAAATAGAGTGCACTGAGAAATAATTGTTTTGTTAATTTACTCACCATTAAATGTGTGTGGGCGAACTCCTTCTTAGTTCAATCACAGATCTCCACTCACTCACAAGGATAAACCAGAAGACTTTTTGAAGGAACACAAGAGAGAACCGTATTTGATGTATATTTATGGCGGTAACAATACAAACAAGCTGGTAGGCATTAAATTAGCAGGGGATGTAAGGGAATTCCAGCAATCTGTGTTGTTCTGATTTGCTGCGGTCTGTTTATATGGGTCGTGTGAAGCTGTAAATCCCAAATATCTACCAATACAGAGACTACGTGTCAATATAGCAACATGCACGTCCACTGAAATGAATCTGGTAACTTTATTATGAGACATGTTCCTGGACTTTCCTGTAAAATGGACACATTGATGAGATCTAAGCAAGATGCCAGAAGGGGATGAAAACGGAGTTTGTGCCGAAGCTTGTTTGCTGTTGCATGTGATTGCTGGAAAGGATGAAGATTTAAAAAGCTGGATGCAAGGACAGGACTGCATAGGAGTGATGCTAGAGATGGCCGGACAGGCTGAGAATCCAAGAATTTGGAGTAAGGCTGAAGCAAGCTGGGAGGTTAGGAAAATAGAGGTGAGCATTGGACAGGCTTATATTTAAAGTAAGTGGCGGTAAGAATCAAACTGGAAGATAATCTAAGATAATGGACATAGGGACCAAACAGGGTGAGAGTTTGTAGAAGTTGGATACATGGACCTAGCAGATGATCGTCTAGTAAGATGGAGCATGGGGGAGACTGAGAGACTGGGAGGAGATTTGTGAGGCGAGAAAGGCCATGAGTCTCTGTGTATCCATGAGGCATGAATTCAGGCCGCCTGGGCCCCACGTGGATCAGCAGCATTTAGGGCCACCCAATGGGCCCTATTATATTCAGGGGCCCGATCAGCGCTGTAATAGCGCGACCGAGTCCCTTTAAAAAAAATGCAGCCGGAAGCAAGTGCTGCTGGGAGGAAGTGACGTCCGGTCACTTCCTCCCACTTTACTCCGCGCGGGAAGGAGGACGTAGCCTGAGGAGAGGCAACCGATGCCCATCATCCCCAGCCACCCTCCTGCGACGAAATGGTAAGGAAGAGAGGAGGGTGGCTGGGGATGAGGTGTATGTGTGTATGCCAGTGTGTGTATGTATGTATGCCGGTGCGTGTATGCCAGTGTGTGTCTGTATGTATGCCTGTCAGTATGTATGTATATATCAGTATGCAGTATGTGTATGTATTTGTATGTTTGTCAGTATGTATGTCTGCATGTATATGTGTATGTCAGTATCTCCCTATGCATGTGTGTATGTCTGTTTCAGTATTTGTATCTGTTAGTGTGTGTGTATTCATGTGGGCGGGATTTGGAGGCGGGCTTGAAGGGGGGCCCAGACCTTGAGCTGTGTTAGGGGCCCCAAAATTTCTGATGGCGGCCCTGCATGAATTATACAGATTTAGGATGTGTTCATCGATAAAGTCATCATACGCCTCTCCCCTTTCCAAAGCATCACAACTTCCTGTGGTTCAAGTCACAAAACACGCAGAGTGAATTTATTTTATCAAAATAATGATTCCTTTGCTTTCCAAGAATTCATTCAGCTCTGGCGCATAGTTCCTAAAATATTAATGGCAGTTGTCTGTGTCTCCGCGTCAGGGGGAAATAGTCTTCAATCCAACACTGCCCTTCAGGCACCGAGCGCTTTCCAAGAGAAAACAAATCAAAGGGTTTCCGTGTAGGTTTTCTGCTCATCGGTAACACCTTCTCAAGTCCAGAAGTCTCACGTCTGTTATACTCGAATAGTTCCTTATCAAAGCTCCTAGCTGGGACAAACGAGCTCCTGAGAGTTTATCACATGTAAGGAAACTGCATAATGAAGAAACCGTCTGAATAATGTGTTCTCTCAATTTCCAGAGTTACTATGCAAAGAACCTGGTCCATAATCTGCATTTACACCAAGGATCGTGTTGAGCAATAACCCACACTCGTTAACTGTCAACGTGATGGCATGCCTTGCCCTCATTAACATAATAACTATTCATTATCTCGTCCATTTACATATCACTTTAAAAGCAAAATGCAAGTCTAATAAACAACGATCTTACATTAACAAACCGTACGTGTGACTGCACCAAACAATATCTCTAACACTAAAATATAATGTGTAACATATCCATCTCTGCTCTGCAAGGTGCAACGCCCTTAAAAAATGATACAAAGTAGCACAGAATGTACACAATATAGACTTGGTAACACAGCGGAATCTTGCGTAAAGTGAACTCAATCATCACAGATGTACCCAGAGCAACAAGGCTACCGGCAACACACGGGCACCAGGATTAAAAGGGCATTCCAATTTCGATTAAGTCTTACCTGTCTTACCTTAACATAGAAACATAGAATGTGACAGCAGATAAGAACCATTCGGCCCATCTAGTCTGCCCAATTTTCTAAATACTTTCATTAGTCCCTGGCCTTATCTTATAGTTAGGATAGCCTTATGCCTATCCCACGCATGCTTAAACTCCTTTACTGTGTTAACCTCTACCACTTCAGCTGGAAGGCTATTCCATGCATCCACTACCCTCTCAGTAAAGTAATACATCCTGATATCATTTTTAAACCTTTGCCCCTCTAATTTAAGACTATGTCCTCTTGTTATGGTAGTTTTTCTTCTTTTAAATATAGTCTCCTCCTTTACTGTGTTGATTCCCTTTATATATTTAAATGTTTCTATCATATCCCCCCTGTCTCGTCTTTCCTCCAAGCTATACATGTTAAGATCCTTTAACCTTTTCTGGTAAGTTTTATCCCGCAATCCATGAACCAGTTTAGTAGCCCTTCTCTGAACCCTCTCTAAGGTATCAATATCCTTCTGAAGATACGGTCTCCAGTACTGTGTACAATACTCCAAGTGAGGTCTCACCAGTGTTCTGTACAATGGCATGAGCACTTCCCTCTTTCTACTGCTAATACCTCTCCCTATACAACCAAGCATTCTGCTAGCATTTCCTGCTGCTCTATTACATTGTCTGCCTACCTTTAAGTCATCAGAAATAATCACCCCTAAATCCCTTTCCTCATATGTTGAGGTTAGGACTCTATCAAATATTCTGTACTCTGCCCTTGGGTTTTTACGTCCAAGATGCATTATCTTGCACTTATCCACATTAAATGTCAGTTGCCACAATTCTGACCATTTTTCTAGTTAACCTAACTCATTGGCCATTTGGCTTATCCCTCCTGGAACATCAACCCTGTTACATATCTTAGTAAAGAGATTTGGAACAATTTAACCCCTTAAGGACCAAACTTCTGGAATAAAAGGGAAACATGACATTTCACACATGTCATGTGTCCTTAAGGGGTTAACATGTAAGCTGGTCACCAGGACACCTTTCCGAACTATTCCCTCCCTCCTCTGCTCATCCTCTGTAGGAGAGCAGGAAAGGAAGAAGTGGATGCCGTGATCGGCTGAGGGTGTTAGCTGCCCAATGGCTGCCCATTGCGATTACAGGACATATTGATATTCATTATTGGGCGCAACGACAGGAAGAACATTGTCGAAAATGGTTATTGTGTATGTTGCTAGTTTTGTAAGCTTGTTCGAGCAGAGCCTTCTTCACCTCTTGTGTCTGTGGACATTATTCTCGTCTGTCAGTTAGCTGCAGTTAAATAACTCCCATAGTATACCTAAAAAGCAATGCAGAAAATGCTGTCACGTTACATATGATAATAATAACAATAATGACTTAATATGTCATACTAATTATTGATACAAAGAAAGATTGCACAAAACCATAGAATTAATATTGGGTATACAGGCATGCACATAGCATGATAACATTATAACATACATATAATAATGAATAATTGGTAATGCAAATAGGATAATAACATACATGTAACACTGAATATTTAGATATGCAGATAACCTATATGTTACAATAACTCTTTCATGATATAACGGGACTGTCATCATGATATCTTGTTCCCACATGAAATTGCAAGCAGAATTATTTTGGGCCATGTATTTTAATTGTATCATTAGCTAGAAGACTCTCTTCACCCCTCATATTATTGTATTGTTCACAATGTGAGTGAGTCGCATCACATTCTTCTCACTGTGTCAGAATATATCATAAAACACAATTATAGAGACGCTGCTGCGGGAACTGCGTCTGCTGTGCTCCGAACTCTGAGAGTTTTACCCCAGGAGAAAGACAAATGGCATAGAGACTGTGTAAATCACCAAACTACGACAGATCATCATCCGGGGCTTCCAGAAACCTGCAAATCCAAGAACGGAAACATAATTATACATTATTTCTGTAGAAACAGTGAGGCATTGTTACTTTCACCATATCGGGTATTACCTGCTAATCTTAATCAACGTCAACACTACATATTAGGGATGAGCATGGGCAAAAAATTGAATTCAGAAATTCAG